TTCGAGAAATGTTTGCAAATTTTGCAGGCCTACTGTAATACCTCTGCAACGCACACCTAGGATCACAACTGCGGATCAACGTATGTAGCGGTTTAGTCAGTGAGCGGTTTCTTTCTTACTCTCTCAGCAACTTAGAGATGTGTATGAGACCGGTAACATCATGTAACCATGTGGAAGAATGGGTTTAAGCAGGATCACTGTAACGCCTTAGAAGCGTCTGACACAGCAGTACTAGGCTCCAATGGTCGGTTTAGATTCAGGCAGAATGGTAGAATGGTAAGTATGGTTCCTCACTAGGGTTGGAGTATGCACTCCCTAAGTTCTACAGTATGCCCATACACAACTCCAACTGATGTGGCAGTTGCAGGTAAGTATGTTCAGTTCAAGTATGTCCCAGGTGTGGGAAAGGATACCACAAGTGAATACTGATAACAGCAATAGTCCCTTCAGTAAGCCAATCACAATTCCCTGTAATGTTATATGTAGCAAAATTGCAGTTAGCCCCAGGTACTTGCGGTTGTGGAGGTCTCAACAGAGGTGTATCGTAATAGGTGGTAGTTGGGAGGCACAGCTGAGCAGCTATTACCCCAGGTACTTGCGGTTCCGGCTGGAAGGCAATGATAGGTCGGTTCCTCAGTACAACCGCTACGGTTGCCAAGGAGGTGGTGGAAGTCTGGGAGAACCCTGGGTCCCTTGTGCGGACTGCGGATGCAGAGAGTGAATCTTCAGCATACACTGTCACAAACAGTAGGACGCCGAAGACTCGTCTGGCCGCGGCTTAAGGAGCGTTGTGTGTGTGCGCCGGAGGGCAGAGCTAACGTACGCCGTGCGCGGCCCCGGAACGATACGGGGTAAGTTTCTTACACCTACGTATTAACTTTGATAAAAGTGAGGCATTAGCTCTTTCACATATACCTAACCCAACATGGCAGTCTCACTTCTTGTTTCCGGTGGCACCGCAGAGCATTACGTACCTGGGAATCAAGGTGGTGTAAAACCCCTTCAGCCTTATATAGTTTGAATGTGTCTCCATTGGTTGATCAATTAGTTAGGGAGCTGGAATTGTGGCTGGACCTGCCGCTCTCGCTCCTCGGAAGAATACACCTAATAAAAATGGTTAGCTTTCCGGAATTGTTGTACCCGCTACAAACTATCCCCATCCTTTTGAAACACAAGGATATTCAACATTTAAATCGAGCGATGGTTCAATTTGCTTGGAACCATAAATGTCCCAGGATATATCTAAAGAAATTGTGGCTTCCGAAGAGTGAGGGGGCTGCTGGCTTCCCTAATGTAAGGTTGTACAACATAGCGTGCTTGCTCCAACACGCATTTGACTGGCTACTGGACACCTCCAGATTCTCAAACACCACACTGGAATCCACATTGGCGCACCCGTGGGATTTGAAAGCAGTCCTGCATAGCAAACCCTCTTCTCTACCGTTACATCTAAGACATAATTTGTTGATTAGGAGACATGGTCCTGGCTTGGAGGGAACTTCGAATAAAATTGAAGTTGTGACCTCATATCGCCCCATCCTTGGAAACCCTATGTTCCCACAAGGTATGGATTATCCAGCATTTGCCTTATGGCATAAGCACGGACTGCGGCTTTGGAATCTTTTATTTGAGGACGATAAGTTTGACACCTCTTTCGTTCAAGGATATTTGTTCCACTTTCCGCATTCCCAATGTTCACTTTTTACACTACCTTCAAACCACAAAAACATGGAAACGAATGTCCCCTGATCCAACAAAGTTTTTTAGCATATCTTGGGTGGATGTCCTGCTGACTACGAAACAATACTCCATATCTACCATTTATTCTAGGCTGCAATCGTGTTTTTGCCGTCCCTACATGCTTCCAATGTCCAATCTTGGGCAAGTGACTTCCCAGATAACGATCTAGTTGACAACTTCTACCAGGCTATAACAGGATTAGGAGGCTGGTTACCAATGAGTCTTCTGGACTCTGATCTTCTGGAGGGAGACCCAATTTTTACACTACCTTCAAACCACAAAAACATGGAAACGAATGTCCCCTGATCCAACAAAGTTTTTTAGCATATCTTGGGTGGATGTCCTGCTGACTACGAAACAATACTCCATATCTACCATTTATTCTAGGCAAATGACAAATTAATTTATACTCTGTTGCCTGTCTACAGTGACCTGGTCACCTCTGGCTGTCTGAACCTTTCCTGCTACCAGCAGCTGGTTCATGAGTATTCAAGGCCTGTACCTGAGCTATGTTGCTCCTACCTTACAGGAGGATTTCACAACAGTCATGCAGGATTTTATGGGACAAATTACAAATTTGATGACTTAGTATTTTTTCATGCCTTCCCCTGCTGAATCCTTATCTTATCTGATTTGCCCGCAGCATTAGCAGCCTTGGAGCCTACAGTTCTCAAGACTATTAGTTGCTGATTCTCTATAGTCCTTAACAGACAAGGCTACACTTAAGGGGTCACAAGCTGATGCCATTACTCTTAGACTTAAAGTGTATTTCCACTTTCACAGCCAAGCTGGGATAGCACCTATTTTATATTTGTTACATGTTCCCATTCACATAGCATAAGTTGAAAAAGAAAAAAAATGCTTCTTGCAGTTTAAATTGTTTTTACGTGGGCTAGGAGTTTAAGGTTTAAAATCTCTTCTAGCTTCTATTTCTTTGAAATGTTAGGAGGGGCTGTGAGGGGCGAAGGGTCTAAGGTGGCTTGTCCATTGTATGTTAACGAAGCTTATCAGATAAACGCAGTTGTCAAATTTCAGTCCCAAGTCTTTTCATTAGGACAGCGCCCTGCAATAGGGCTAAGAAAACCTGCAATCAGCTTCCTTGCCTGATTTAACAAAACCTATAAAAGGTAAGAAATTTGTATTTAAAGTTATTTTTCATTATGCTGTGGAATAGGAACACATAACGAACATTTAGATTGTAAGCCCTCAGGGGCAGGGCCCTCCTTACCATCTTGTCTTGAATTGTGATTGTAATGTCTTCCTTATATTGTAAAGCGCTGCACAAACTGTTGGCGCTATATAAATCCTGTATTATAATAATAATATGAAGGGGGTTTTCTCAAATTTTACTGCAAAAGTGGAAATACACTTTAACCCCTTCATGAGTGAGCTTTTTCTCAGTTTCTGTTCGTTATTGACTGAAGCTCTTTTTACATTTTTGCTGTGTGATTCTTCCACGACAGTAATATACTTTCTTACTAAGTGCACCCACAGATATTATAGCTTGTCTTTTAGAGGACAGATAGGGCTATATATTTATATCACATTTGTGTGCCTAATGTCTCACTTATGTATGAATAACATATAAAAAAAAGGGGAAAAAATCATTTCTGTGTTTTATGAGTGAATAGGTTGTTGCAATAACCAATTTTAGATGTTGAACTGGTGTTGGTGTTAACTGGTGCATTTAGTATGTCCAATGAGATTTTAAAAAAGTGGTATCGGTGCATCCCTAAAAAATAACATAAAGAAAAACACGTTTTCCCCAGTTTTGATTATTATTTTTTTTAAATAGCACAACTAAAAAAAAAAAGTATTAAAATAAATCCATTTATTTGTCCTTTATTTTGAAACACCTCACATCCCTAGGATTTCAGAAATATTTCTGTACTTTTCAGCCTAAAACTAAAAGCTAACATTTTATTTTTTTTCTCTAAAAACTAATAATGGTTAGGTTGCCTATAATGTCACTGTCATAAAGTGTCACTAACTGTCACAGTTAGGGTGAAAAACAAGTCGGAAAGCTTAGCTGCAGATTTTCATTGTAAGGGGTTAATTTTTTATAAAAATTATAGTATAGAAATATATTTATATTTTTTAATAAAAAGAAAACCCTGCACAGCCCAGCGTAGACCCTGCGTAGCCACCTGAGAGTCTGCACAGCCCACCATAAAACCTGCACACCCTACCTGAGAGTGCACAGCCACCTAAGAGTACGCACAGCCCACCATAGAACCTGCACAGGCCACCTGAGAGTCTGCACAACCCACGATAGAACCTGTACAGTCCACCTGAGAGTCTGCACAGCCCAGCATAGAACCTGCACAGCCACCTGAGAGTCTGCACAACCCACCATTGAACCTGCACAGCCCACCTGAGGGTCCGCACAGTGGGCCCACAGGAGAACCTGCACAGCCACCTGATAGTCCGCACACCCCACTATAAACCTGCATAGCCACCTTAGACTCCGCGTAGCCCACCAGACACCCTGCACAGCCACCTAAGAGTCCACACAGCCCACCATAGACCCCGCATAGCCCAACTGAGAGTTTGCATAGTCCACCATAGAACCTGCAAAGCCCACCACAGCCCATCATAGAATCCCATACAGCCTTCTGAAACCCTGTACAGTCCTCTAATATCCCGCACAGCCCTCCTGAGCGTTGGAGATGCAACAGCATGCTGATTGTGTTGCTGACTGTTACTGTCTTTTGAGCACTGCAGTGTAAAGCTAGTCTGTATGTTAGTTTTCCATATGCATGCTTACTTATCTATGATCTATATGTTTCCTGTTTGATGCTGTATTCCTGTATATTCACTTGTAACGTCCTGCTAAGCAAGTAAAACTTAATTCAGCATTCCTCAAGATCTCGCTTCATCTAAACACATAACCAACACTGAGACCCCACACAACAACCTGGGAGCAGCACAGAGTCTGTAGCTTCATATTATTCTGCATTGATGTATAATGAATTGCTGGGATTTGTAGTCCCCTATAGCTGGTTGCCATTCGACATTGCTGCATAATGTACCTCTGGGATTTGTAGTTCTCTCTAGCTGATGGTATTATTCTGCATTGCTGTATAATGTATCGCTGGGATTTGTAGCCATCTATAGCTGGTGGTATTCTGCTTTGCTGTGTAATGTATCGCTGGGATTTGTAATTTAATGTGATATGACATCAAATTTGTATTTTAATGTGATATTAATATGCTGTCCTAGGAATATTGCATATTAATGCATTTCACTTTCATTTTCAGATTTATGTGCATCTGAGAGAAGGAAGTGGCAGTGATGGCATTGACACATTAAAGCATAAGCCACAACTGCACAGCATGGTAGCCAAAAACCTGTGTCAGAGTGCTCCTGGAAATAACTATATCATATTTACTGGGCCGAGCATCACAAGTCTTAATTTGTTTGAAGAATTTGAAAAACAAGGTGTGTAGCATCCTAATTCTAACGAACAAGGGTAATTTTCTATGCATAGGTTATATTATTAATGTAAACTTGAATCTATTTCAAGTCCATGAATAAATCAACATTACTCTGTGCTGCCTTCCAGTTTGAATTGGTGCTACTTTGATAGTTATTCTGAATTTGGCTTTTCAGACACAGACTAGTTGCTAGCAACCAGGCTGCTAATAAACCAGACTCTCAATTTACAAACTGATTGATACTCTTTTCACTGCCACATTGGGACTGATAAGTCTCTACATGACAGAATAATGGGACATCATTCAAAAGGTTTATGGGTACAACATATGCATCATAATTATCTAATGGGAATTACCTATGGATTCCTAGACATACAAATTACCATTATGGGTAATTGTAAATTTATAGTTCACCCTCCATGACGGTCCACAACCATGGGAAATAAGCATGGTGGGGAACATAATACATTTCTTGATAAAACGTTTCAGAGGTGTGGAAACAAACCCTGTAGTATAGTTTTTACAGCAGTGGAACCTTGTCCCTAAAAACAGAGCTAAAGTACACATGTATGTCTTTCTAACATCAACCTGACCTAGATTATATGAAAAGAGGTAATGCATACTATAAAATATATAAACATTTTCCCAATTAGAGAGGGGAATGCTAAAGAAACTTACTATACCTGGAAATACAGAAAAGGGTCCTGAACGGTCAATTGCCAGAAAGTTAGCCAATATACTGTACATGAATTTGCAATTTTATAGTTTATTTGGCTTTTCTCAGTCTGAAGACTTAGAAAAAATATAAGCAACATATGTGCCTTTGTGTGACATAAGATCTCCATACTGGTAAGATGTGCACTTGAGAGGTCATGGTTTACCCTAGGTGCTAATTTACATTGCTTGGAGTTGGGCTTTAAGATGCATGATCTCTTTGCTTACAAATGGAAAGAAACAAACATTTTAGGGCCTCATTCACACAGGTGTCTTGCTCCATACAGTGTGAAGGTTCAGTTGTCGATGCTTCCCTAGCTGCGGGAAGGAGCATGTAGACAGCTTATTTAACTCTATAGAGATGGAGTGCCCTCACACGCTGCTTTTCACAGCTCCGAGTTTTCATTGGTAGCTGCGATGGCAGTAGGGATGCACAGATACCAAGTACAGTGCTTGGTACAAGTACAAGTACTGATACTTTTCCAGGCCAAGACTAGACTAGAAAATAAACCTGAAAAGCACGCTGTATCCAGCGACTGACAGGTTACGCAAAAAGTCTTAAAATAGGAAGGGGTGGAGCAAACTTACCGGGGGGGGGGCCTGAATTTTGTCTTGCCTAGGGCAGCCCTAAACCAGAATGCACCACTGTCCTTATGCTCTATCTTCCTACAACCCTTTGCCCAGCATAAACAGGAGTGGGATGTTCAGCACTATGGGCAAATTAAATTCTTTTGCATTGTACCATGCGTTTTACAGGGTCAGGAGAGCATAGGGAGCAAAATTATATGTTTGCAACAGATCATGATTGGCTTTTTTCTGGCATTTAATACTCTGCATGCTGCTGAGGGGGATTACAGGAGGATGGATATAAAGACAAATCCAGCTATATACACTCATTGAGAGAGGGTTGTTTTTTTTTTTTTTTTAATAAATACATTGCCACATGAATTGTTGTTTATACTTGGGACAAATTTAGCTTACAGCTTATCTCTCTCATCTAAAAAACAATAACATGTTTCAGGTTCTTCTTTGACCTTCACAAATATTAAACATGATTGGTAGTTTTAGTTTATAATTTATTGACTACTAAGGGAAAGTTGTTCTTGAACTTGGCTTGAAATATGTTGTGGAAAGTTCAGAGCTATGCTAATCTAAACAAAACTAAGCTTACTAAGGGATGATTCTGATGACTATAAAATTCCATGCTAATTCCTCATAAACTTATGTAACTAGGACAAGGTGGATTGAGAATTACAGTGGATAATTCTAGCCTTGCTTACATAAAATATTCACACAAGGTCTTCATTAGTCAATACTATGGCATTGTTTTATGCAGTATTTTTTTATTAATATATCAATATGAATAGAGGTCTGTTTTCTTAAAGTGAAATGGTAGCGTGGTAACATATTCGAAAAATAGGAAGCACAATTCTAAAAACTTTAATAATTTTGGTGATTTGTCAGGACAGGGCCTCAGGGTGCTTGCATCTCAATAAATATATGCACAAATAACAGAGAGATAAAATATACCTACCAGTCATACATTCTGATTTCTCAGTGTCAATGTACAAAGTTGCTTGGAGACAATGGTAGGCATGTGGGGAATCTATGCTATTGATTTGTGTTTTCTACCAGCACTGCCCAAAGTTTCAGGCTCCAGTTTTGATTCACAGGCAACAGAAGATGATTGCAACTACTTGTAAAGTGAGGTAGAGAACCAGTAGGCAGAATTGCAACCTAGAACACAAGCTGAGATTCAGGCAGGTAATGTTATCCATTGTTTTAGAACAAGCAAGAGTTAACAGCAGACAGGCAAACTCAGAAACAACTTTATATATAAAACGAACAGAGTAAAGGCAAGTGCACACCCTTATGTGCATTTCACCTACTTCACTGACTATACAGGTACATCTGTTATCACTTAAATACACATAGGATCCTGACATTTGCAGAATCAGTTTCAGAAGGAGAAGCATTGAAAATGGTTGCAGTACAAAAACCTTACAGTACCATTTACCATGATCTGCTATTGCAGTGATATTAACTTCAGCATCAATATCAAAATACATAAATCAACAGGATTTTACAATATGTCATCATTATTTAACCCCTTAGTGACCAGTGACGTCCAAAGTATGTCACTGGCACCGGGCCCGTTTAAACAGAATCCTGGCGGCTAAAGACGCCGGGACTCTGTTTACAATTGTAAAGCTGACTGTCGGCTTTCGAATAGAAGCGATTAGGCGACTCAGATGTTGCCCGATTGCTTGTCGAGGCCAGGACCGGCTTCTCTGGTGTCAGGGGGGAAGCTGGGGAGGAGATCAGCGAACCTCCATTCGCCGATCCCCTCCCCGTACTATGGCACTGGGAGCGATGCAGATTACATTACTTCCGGTCCCATAGCTGTCATTTCTGGGCTTCTGAAGCCCAGCTATAAGCTTTTGAAGTGTGATCTGCACTTCAATAGCTTATTTCAAGTGCAAAGGGGATACTAGGGGTCTTTTGGACCCCCAGCATCACCTTAAAGAGGACCTATCACCACCACTATGCTATCACATGGGGGGCTTGTAAGCCCCCCTATGTGATAGCAATTAAAGTAAAAAAACTGTTTTTAAAATTATTACATGAAATAAATGTAAAAATAATAAAAAAATGTTTTTAAAGTCCCCGCCCCCATGATCATGCACATCTTCACGTAAACACGCTTCGGGTGCGCCTACGTATGAAAACGATGATCGCGCTGCACATGTTTGGTATCTCCACGCACACCGGAGTGAGAGCAATAATTCTAAGGCCAAAATGTATGCGTATCTCGTAACAGATGGCCTGTGGGGGCTTTTAAAGCATCTTCTATGGACTTTTTGGGGTACCGAATGTTGTCGCAGTTTCACGGACGCACACAATTTTTACCTGGGCATGTTGGGTATCTATTTACTCTTTGTAATCTCATTTTTATTTTTTTTTAATTGTTTTTTGGGACATTAACTACATTTTGGGGTTTGATAATACGTTGCACTAATATCGTGCAACATAAAAATTTGAAACTGCCAACATATGTTATTCTACAGGGTCTTGGCTTTCAGAAAATATTTCATGTCTGGGGGGTTGAAGTAATTTTCAGGCCAAAAATGTGGACTATATCATGGGTACAAAAAAATTAAAAAAAAAGCCTCGATCACAGTATAAATATGAATAACTGGTAAAAATGTCACAAAACAGGCACAATTTGAAAGCAGAAAAAAAAGTAGAGAAGAAGTGCTAGGTATAGGTTATAAAGAGCTAGAAATTTAAAAGTTAAAAATCTGTGAGTCATTTTTCAGGCTTGATATATAGGCCACATTATTTCAGATATGTTAATGCAAATTGCTGAATCACAAAGGTTAACTAATTGAACTGCAGTTTAGACATTAAAAAAGGTTTATTCTATTTAGAAACTGAAAAAAGTGTTTATAAAATGTAAAAGATATTAAGAAAAGGCATACTGAAATGCATATGTCCCTTTTGGGTGTCTATTCGTCAGCTGTTTTCTGTCACATTTATTTATACTCGGACGAATGTTGGGATCGCGTATCCACTGATCAACTTCTTATTGTCTACATACAATAACAGTGCGGCGAGTGTGCACCCCAAGGGGGCGGCTGACGTGGACACAAACACATGGTGTGGGAAAAGATTTTCAAGCACTTTTTTGGACTGTTTTTTCACATATTTGGACTTAATACTAAATATTTCACTAAATAATATTTATATCACTCTGATTTTGATCCATCATTATATGGAAAATTATCTTTCTATCGCATGTATTTATTGAATCATGGTTTTGAATTAATTGCAACTTATATTTGTGTATACTATTATCCATTCATTTATTTATATATCTATCAGCTTCTACCATTAATTTCCAAATCTTCACTGAACAAACTGAAGACAGAAGCTGATTGGTTTGCATGGGCAACAGCTCCAGATTTTGTCTGTTCCCGTTTTGATAAATTCTCCCCATAGTGTTTAAGGAGTGCTTTCATATCCCAAAGACAAATGCTTTGGTTTCTTGAGACCCAAAGGCATTTGATTCCTCATAGTGTTTACAGTGAGAGTATAAATTAAAACATATATATTAACTTTGAGTGCAGTATTTTAGTGTCTATTTCCAAAAAACCCATATATGAATATGTATATCCAAATTGGCTACTGAAGTACAGCCTTATTTGTGTGTAAATAAAATGTATATATGTGTAAAAAAAATTATATATAATATATTATGGTAAACTACAAAACTAAACTAAGCATCGCAGAAAAAAAAATGCTCTGGGACTTGAGGAAAGCAATGAGTAACATGATGGCCATGGTTTGCAACATCAGTGCTGTAAAAGAAAATCTAATTTTAGAATGAGTATTACATAATTATAATACATTTAACATTTATTAAAATCTAAAACTTCTAAAAGGTATAGCCTACTAAGACATTTTAGTGTAGCATTTTTTATGAACACACAAAGGTATACCCTGCTATAACATGTTGTATTGTTCCACAATGTTCTAAAAAAAACCTCCTATTTTGACAGGTATTTACTGTTGTGGATTGCTGAGCTCCCGTAAAAGTGACTGTACTGGCTTACCTCAGTCAATGATGACTAACACAGAGGTACCAAAATCTCGAGGACACTATGAAATAAGGATGAAAGAAAATATGTCCCTTATTTGCTGGTACAATAAAGGGTATTTCCGCTTTCTGAGTAATGCTTACTCTCCAAATCAGAAAGGTAAATCATTTTCCAACAAATAAACTAGCATCTGGATTTTTTTCCCCAGCAAGAATAAAAAGGGAAAGATTGGGTAAATAAACAGGAATTGGAAGATATGGGGATGGTTGTTGACAATTAATTTTGCGTAGGACAAAATTAATATGTAAAATGTAAATGAAGCTCCATTAAACACTCAAGTTCTTAAACTTGCTCTCTTTTTGTCTGTGAAAGCCTATGTACACCCAAAAACAAAAAAATTTATATGTTGCAGCTTACCAGTCCTTAGTTGAGTTGGCTACATTAGTTTTCTTTTTTCTGGCTCTTTTTCCTTAATTTTTACCTGGTAGATATGCCCAGTAAAGCATTTCCAGTTCTACAATGACAATAATCACTCACAGTTATATATTAGGACTGAAACCAGAAACCTCACTCCCTTAATTTTGTCTATAAAATAGGCGGGCATTGTTCTATTGTCCTGTTGAGATCCAATCACTGCTCAGATGAACCACCTCCTCAACACGCCTCTGTGCATACCCCTAAACAGCATTTAAGATCTTCAAACATCATCACTGTGGCACAGCTACACATCTTCAAAAACCAGCTTGAATAACATTGGGCAAGGGCATTGCAGATCCAAAAAGCTGAAAAAGTTCAGTTGCTTTTGTGACAAATTGATTTTTAACTGGTGATCCACAATAAACATTTGGAAATTTTTAGTGTGATTTCACTTATCAGAAAAACAATCACAGCACTGTGTGAGATGTGCTTAAAGTATATTTCCACTTTTGCAGCAAAATTGGGATAACACCTACTTTACAGTTGTTACATGTTCCCATTCACACTTTTTTTGGTGATGTTTCTGCAAACTAAAGGACTATACAAATCCTGCTTAGTTCTCACTGCCTGGGAGGTTGGGGGAGTTTTGTTTCAAGTAATTAACCCTGTCGTACTATGCTGGCAAATTTCATTATCACTTGTAAACTAGGTGAGCAAGACACTCCGCCTTGAATATCTCACATGAAGACACTGAATGACATTGTAAACACTGATACTGAAGACATTGGGGGGAATTTATGAAAACTAGTGCAGTTGCCCATAATAACCAGTCATATTCTCTTTAATTTGTTCACTTGTTTTTAAAATAAAACTTAGATGCTAATTGCTAACCATGGGCAACTTTGTCAGATTCTGTCTGCTACAGTTTTCATAAATTCCCCTCATTGCATGTTAACAAACTTTTTTTTTAAACTGTCCTATATCAGCTCACAGGCTTCTACTCTAACCACTATGTATAATTCTGCTCCAAAGAAACAGCTAACAAGGTTAGATTTATGTTTTTATTATTATTTTTAGGTATGATGTGTGAATGGTAAACCATAACAAACATATAGAGGGGGTTTCCTAAATGTAGCTGCAAAAGTGGAAATACCCTTTAAAAAAGAAGTCTCGCCTTTATTTTTTTCACAGCTCATCTACCTTATCTCACAGTATATGCTGTTTTTCCCATCATTCTGTGTGATGTAGAAACTGAGATACAGACTTTGACAGCTCACCCCCTTCATTTCCGACCATGCTCTGCAAAGGAGATGACCTCTTGATTGGCAGCTCTTAAATCACTGTCCCTGCACATTCCAGACACAAGTGAGGTCACAGAAATACAGAGGGAGTGGTTGCGCTCTCACAGGAATCAGTGACATAAGAGCTGTCAATCAATAGGCAATCTCCTTTGCAAACCGTGGTCAGGAATTGAGGGGGGGGGTAATTATTTCTCAGTTTCTACTGTACGCAGAAGAATGGGATGCAAGAAAAAAGCAACTTATACTGTAGGAGTTAGGGGACTGAACTGTGAAAAAAAATAATAAAAGGTGAGACTTCTTATTTAACTCTTGCAGCTGTTTAGCTGCCAGGTGAATCAAATCAGAAAGGTCAAGGGTCTCTACTTTTATTTATGGAGTAGTTCTTCTTTCCTTGTCTTCATTTCAAGATACATTGTTTTTACATCTTTATCTACAGGAGTCATTATAAAAAGGAAAAGTGGAGAAGTCCCTTGTCCACTGGCAGTAGAAGCATTTGCTGCGCATCTTAGCTATATCTGTAAATATGATGATAAATATAGCAAGTAAGTAAACTTCATTGAGTCATGGTTAGAAAATACCTTGTTGTCATACTGAGCAATAAACCACAATGACTTGGTTGCCTATCCAAGCATCTTTCCATTTTGATATCAAAGGCTAACAAGGCAAACAGTGAATCACATTAAGCCAGATGTCAAACTGAGAGAAGTTTAATTTTATATTTTGTAAAGATAATCTAATGAATCTTACATTAAAAGGAATGCATGATAATATAATTTACATTGTCTGCTTAGGTTTGTAGATTTAATGAAATGTGAACAAAATATTATGTGTTTTATAAGAGTGTGATGTTCCTGGCTGTCCCACTGTGTGCTTTCGATTTCAGCGCTTCCTTCCTATTTGATCTGTCGGTGATATGATGTGTTATATTTTCAGTCTCTCAAATCTCTAACCACAGATCTAAATGTCTGAAGCCTCATAGAATTTTAGAACAAATGAACAGTACAAACATTCTCTAACACCGCTAGGCAGCAAAATAGGAAACACGTAAATGGTTGAAGAGGAAAATATTGGTCATTCCAATATGTATATGCATGATCTGAAATAGAATTTTGATTAAAAATAGTACTTTTAATGTCATAATGTAACAATACAAGGTTCAGTCTACTAACTGGTTGCAGGTAGTCAAATGTCAACATTTCTTTACTCAGATAAAAAAAATTGGAAGCTGTCAATTTGTAAATGTCTAAAACACAATTTGAAAACTTTGAGTACTTTAGAGTAAAACTAACACACCCTTTCAGGTAATGCACATTCCGAAATATTATGGTCAAATGTAAGGGACTTATGTGACTTTAGCATTTTTAAATACTTCCTGTGCCATTAATTGTTAATTTAAAATTTTTTAGGGTCTGTATCTAATGGCTATTTCTACATCAGGCATTTAGTTATCATCCTTGAAACCAGAACTGAGCTGATAAAGGAGCAGGAGAAACTCTGCCTCAAATGCAGTTGTGGGGAGCACAGCCAGGGCACAAGCCTTACCTGCTCTCGATGGCACAGCTCCACATATTAGCTTGGGAGAACAACTTTTCCCGCTGTCCGTTTGACAGTCGTTCCTGGTACACAGAGGAAAAAACATCTGTAAAACTGACAGCCAAGCCCCACAGATTACATCCTGCTACTTGTACTAGCTGCTGTCAGATCTCCTGCTAATAGCAGAACCCCATAGATTACATTGAGAGCCAGTCTCCCCGTGTAATGGGCTGGACTGAATCGTCAATTTCACAGCCTAATCCTCCTAGAGATCTGACTAAGGGCAAAACTTGCATGATCTTTTCTTGGAAGTAACCATGGCCAAAAAAGAACTACCAGAAAATAGAAACTTTTTTTTTTATACTCCAAGTGACCCCGGTATGTTTAAGGACCATGTCCAACACCAACCTCCTAAAAGACATAGGAACAAATGGAAACACATTTTCAACACCTGATGTGTGCAGCTCTTAATTGATCAATTTCACATTTTCTGGATCTTATAGGTGGGTGGTTTCAAAATTCCACCTGTGAATCGCCAGCCACAAATGTTGCAGGATTTAAATCTTGAACTTCTTACCATCCTGGGCATTCTCCATTGACCTGTGGTCAAAGTAATGTATGTTTTCTCGGAGTCTCAACAAGAAGGGCACCTTATACCTGAGTTTCTATGGGAATTCCTATATTCCTCGGCCCCATCTGGTGGCAGTAAAGCACTGAGAATGTTGTTCACAAAGCTATATATACTGTGGGAACAAGTTTTAAAATCAGCCCCCAGGAGCCTTGAGCTACTGCCTTTTAAAATGTATCAAAATTCCTCAGCCAGAGTTCCTTGATGCCTCTAGAGGAACTTAAGGATAAGTACGGCCACTTCCCCCTGGCTGTCTGGAGGTATAGACAACTCAGCCATTTCTTTGGGACAGCGGCCATGGGTATCTGGTCCATGTCCTCCCTCACTCCCTTTGAATACTATGTGCAGGGTCTACCTCTCCTGGCCGATTAGTCTCCCATTTTTACGGAATGCTTTTGTCCACGCTCACAAGGAACAGGCCGAGGTTTATAGGGGAGTGTGAAAGAGACCTTGGTCGTGGACTCTCAGATGACCAGTTGAACTTTATTTACTGCTTCACTCATAAATCATCAGTAGACTCCAGGACGCATGAAACCAGTTATAAACTGTTGTCCCGATGGTATCGCACTCCACTTCATCTAAGTACCATTTACCCGGGAGTATCATCTCAATGTTGGAGGGGCTGCGGGCAACCCGGTCACCTCTTACATATTTGGTGGGAGTGCCCCCTTCTGCAGAGCTTCTTGCATGATATTTGCTCTCAAATTAAGCTTATCACAACTATTGACCTGCCTGATGACCCCATTTATCTGCTGTTCCACCTCCCTTCCACGACTATTGGTTATTATGGGAGGAGTGTCCTGCCCCATCTTTTGGATGCATCCAGGATCTCACAAGTATCAGTTATTCAGGAGGCGGAGGAATAGGTTGCGAAGTACCGAGGTAGATCTGACCGCTTCTACTCTAAGTAGGCGGTGTGGTTACACTATGTGTCTAACATACCGTGACCTACACACTTGAAGGCCTTGTTAAGTTATTAAGCCATTAAGCTCTCCTTCAGCCTTTGCTTTTTATTATTGTTCGGATGAGTAAGTTATTCACTTGCACTGGAATCCTCTCTTATATGTCCTACTTGCAAAATGTCAGGATAATAGGGTGCCTACTAGCTTGAACTCAATGTGGTGCCTGGTGCATCATCTCTTGCCCACCAGATTGAGCCTGTAGGATATGTGTGGGCTGACCACCCGATTACTGTGTGATTTTGTATGTCATATTTTTTGGGGTCTCTGTTTGGCCCGTTTATGCCCCCTATTTGTGCCTTTGTGAACAAAATTTTGAAAATTGAAAATAAATATTATACAAAAACAAATGATCAAAAACACAGTAAAACAAATGATCACTGAGATTGCTCAAAATTTCAAACTTGTTCTTGATTTTTTAAAATGTCATTTTCTTTTTTCTACTGATATCCAAATATAATAAATCCAGTCCAACACCTGAATTGAACCTTAGCTATGCAAATAGTCTTTTATTAGATAGTAAACTACTATAGATTTGTGTGTTTATTCCACACGTTTTTTACATACTAGTTAAATCCTGGGTGAATTAATTTTATATCGTTATTAGTATGTTTCTCAGCTTCAGCCTATGCTGACTTGATTTCCTTCTGGTAGTTTTTTTTTTATTTCTTATGTTTAATTAAATGTTTTTTCTTTCTTACCATATCTAAAAATGCACTATGGTTTTTCTTTCATTTCTAAAAAACACATTTCCCATAGGGTATTTATTTTTAAAATGGTCTCATTTTACTAATTTAACATTACTTCTTCCCAGTCTACAAGACTAAGCAGTTCTTGGAGTTGTTTACATTTTGCTTTCCTAAACTTCATTGTTTTGTAGCCCATTTGTTCAACTCTCTATTTAATACTAACTCAAATGTTACTAAATTGTAGTCACTGTTGCCCAAATGTTTCAAGACCTGAACCATTTTTTTGGTATCTAATCTAATACAAGCCATAGACATCTAAACTAGCAGTTTTCACCCTTAAATGGCGTTTACAGGAGAACATACATCACATATGGGAGGGTAATAGACACGGACTTAGACATTATAACATTACAGGAGGACCTGGATAAAATAGGGGAGTGGGCATTAATGTGGCAGATGAGGTTTAATGTCGATAAATGCACTTTGGAATTAAAAATAAACAAATGGGTTATACAATTATGGGTATGCCGCTAGGGAAGTCAGAAATGGAGAAGGATTTGGGGGTCATTGTAGACCACAAACTGAAAGGTAGCTTGCAGTGCCAGGCTGCTGTAAACAACCTCATCTTGGTTCGACCTCATCTGGAGTACGCAGTCCAGTTCTGGTCACCAGTACTAAGAAAAGATGTCCTTGAGTTGGAAAAAGTCCAGCAGAGGGCAACCAAACTAATTAGGGGTATGGAGGACCAGAGCTACGAGACAAGGCTACTAAATTTAAACATGTTCACATTGGAGGTGAGGAGATTAAGGGGGGGATATGATCTCCATGTACAAAATGTTCAGTGGTGGTAGCAACATTAGCGATAAACTGTTTAAAATTAACTCCATTACAAAAACTAGAGGCCACCACCTTAAAATTGGTGGGAAAAAAATTCAGTATAGTACATTATACAGGGGTACATTAGGTTGGACTTGATAGACTAATGTCTTTATTCAACCTCAAATACTATGTAACACAAGATATACTCAGGTCAGCATTATCATCAGGGCTTGAAAAATTTTAGGGTGTCTCACCAGTCAGTACAAATTTCACCAGTCAGCATGACCAGACTATAGCCTTGCAATTTATGTTAATATTTTTTTGGAGACAGATAGAGCTTTCTTTTGGTGGTATTTAATCACTACTGGGGGTTTTATTTTCTACTATATAAATGAAAAAAGTACCGTAAATTTAGAAAAATTATGTTTTCCCTACGTTATGTTAAAAAAACATTTATTCTTACATCGGTGAAGGTTCTCATCCATCCAGGTCAGGGTATATCTGTAAAAAATAAGTCAAGGCAACTGGACTTGCTGTATTTTTCTTGAAGACGTTTCACTGGTTGTCCAGCCAGCTTTCTCAATTCAGAATGACTTGTATGGGGCGTGTCCTGGCCATGGTGGAGTGAGCAAGCACTTTCCATCTGCTCTTCCCCCACCGCTCCGATTACAGGACTTTTAGACAGCACCTACTGCCACCACCATGCAAAGGACCAGGCAGAAGAATGTCCCAGATACCCCTAGAGCACTGGCACCGGGTAAATTGAAGGATTTCTTCTCCCCAGCAGCATCACTGGCCGCGGGAGTAGGCCCGGAAAAGCCACTTCCTCGAGTAGCGGCACCCGCCCGGCGATGAGTGCCCCCGAATCGCCGTCCGACCGCAGGCTATCCCCGGAATCTGGGGTCCCTGATAGC